TAGATATGTGATATTGTTTCAGTCATTCATAGAGATTTGTACTGTGACCTGATGCAAAGAAATAAAATAATACTAAAATAACAAGCTTGTTGCCTGAGAGTCTTTCATTAAAATAATGCAGTTACTATATCTAGTTATTTAAGGCTTATTTCATATGGCTATTGAACGAGCTGAGTCTTTTAAGTTCTATAAAAGATTGGTAATATTTTGACCTGATGGGCTGCTATTAGTTTTTGAATACTCTTCTGCATGAAGTTATATAGTTACTGGAGCTACAAAAATGTTGGCATTGCTTTGCAGGTGTATAGAGATTAGAGCCTTCAGTACACTTGATATTCTAAAATTTATGTTCCTTTATTTTGACTTTGGCAGCATGTTTCTGCATAACTGTACCATCCTCAGGCTAACCTTTGCATGTTATGCCAACTAAAATTCAGTCAAAATAAAAATTAATGGAATAGTTAAAAGTAACATAAGTTTAAAATTAAGTCAAATTGGATTATTGTTGCATCCATTACATGGATTTTCTACAATCTTATGAAATATGCTGAGGTTGCATGCTAGTGTGGGTTAAGTTCCCTTTAGCTTATGTATATTTCATATGGAATGCTGATTGAATCAAAAAAGGGATGGATGAGGTGAGCAGAATCATAATGTTGAGTTGTTGAAGAAAATATGAACTGGAATTATAATTTCCATTCTTTGCCACCTCTCTCAGTTATAATAAACATTAAGCACTTAAGCGAACAATATATATTTTCTGTACTCCTGTCAGTTGTCCTAAAATTCTGATCCAACATCTGGTGATTCTAGTAAAATTACAACAAAGGTTCAGAGTGCTAGTTGTTCCAAACCATGCAGGGTAGAAATTGGTATAATATTAAAAAAGTAAAACAAAAAGTCTACTAGGATGATTCAGTTCAGTTTTATTTTAAAGCTTCACATATACTATATACAAGGCATCTGTTTCCTTATTTGTTGATAACTACAATGATTTGGAAGTTGAAAATACTTAAATAACATATTTCTTCTGTACCGTCCATATTCACAACAGATGAAAGAACAACTGAAGTGTACTCAGGGAAGACAGAACTGAAAAATGGAAGTCACTTTGAAACTTAATTCTATTTATTCATCACAATGAGACTTTCTGAGGTTTGTTGTGATTGTTGCTAGATCATCTACTTACGATATAAAATAATAATATGGAGTGTGGAGGTGCCTGTCACATGTGTAAGGGTAGCGTCCAGTGCAGTATACTGCTACACATGGACAGTCAAGGTTAAGTGCTTAGATCTCATGTTTCTTATTTGAGACAGGTGCAGTCATAGTCTGAAAATTCATGAAATCCACAGCTGGCTTTCTTGTAAATTTGATTTATCAGTAGCCTTTTAAGAACATAATACAATGAAATATACAAAATTTAATAAATGGGAAATAATGTTTGAAAATATGTACAAATGAGCTGTAATAATTGATGTTTAAAACAGTTTCCCCTTCATAATTTTATAATTTAAAATGACGCAAGATATTGAACAATCACAAAACTTCTAAAATTAAATAGCTGCCATAACAAAATTAAATGCAAGTAAAATTTTAACACCCCAATGCAGGAGAGATAATGACTCAGAAATATATTATGTAAGTGATTAAGAACCACTTGGCTTGGATGAGGTCCCCTGATACATTTCAGACAAAATTTGTTTTTCAAGTCATAACTATTGTTGTTGTTATTATTATATTGAGTAATTTTATGTAGTGTACTGACTTTAAAATTCTAACTACGAAATCACTAAGAAAATCATTTTTTTATGTTAATAAAACTATATGATTGTGTTTTGTAACTGGGTACATTTATAATGTTATGTAAATCTGTGAAATTAAAAAGCAGAAAACCATTCACATGTGACAACACACCACATTGCTTTTCTACAGTGGAATATATCCAGCTTATTATCTTCGCTCTAGTTACCATATCTGTATACACTGTGCCTGTGTGATACAAATATTGTAACTTCAAGAAAAAGAAAACAGATCATCAGAGCAAATAAACTCATAAATGGGTTCCCTTTATAACTACAAATGTATATGTCATATGAGCAATTATTTTTGTAACAATTTATAAACTAATATTTATATAATTTATAACCTAACACTTCAAACATAATTATTCAAATTCCAAAGTAATAAAATTAATGATGTAAAATATGCGCACCTTTTCCTGGTTAATAATTGTGAAACGTTCACTTTTCCTTTTAAAGATTGTCTCCAATGTCATATTTGGTCAGCATTCATTTCCATCATTTTGAAATTAAAAACGTTTTACATGTAAGTACTGTAGTTTGTTGTTTACCTGAATTTTGAATTTAAAAACGTTTTACACGTAAGTACTGTAGTTTGTTGTTTACCTGTCACTGGTAAGTCAGTGTTCTATGTTTCAGTGAATCATGTCAAAATATGAAGTACAATCAAGTAGAACATAGAATTTGAGGATTTCAATTATAAGAATACACTCTTGCATGTGTTTAAACCAAAGGCAGCACCTGCTAGTGTTTTGGATCTGGCTGATGTTCCAGATCCACTGTTTAAATGTTACAGCCACTGTGCAGAACCTCTGAAATCTCAAATACAATGACAGGTAACTACTCGGTATGATAGGGCGTGAAGACTGAGGTGGAGAGTAAGTGGTGGTGGCAGCGCAGGGAGAAAGGAAAGCAAAAATAAGTGTGTGCCTAGAGAAAATATCATTCTCTGGAGATAGGTTTGAAATGTTGGAACTAAACTATTAACAAAATGGACAAAATTATGTAATAAGGAACCTGAAGGTTTTCACTCTTCATCTAATATTGTCAAGATGATTAAATAATAGGATGTACTTACAAAATATCGATGCCTAAACAGAACAACGACAGTCGGATTTATTGGGTTTTTGGTCTTTGTCCATCATGCAAGGTTAAAATGTGCACGACGTTTCAAAAAACCGGATCCATTTTCATCTTCAGGTGTATGGGGCAAGGAGACCTTCTCTGTTGGGTCTGTTAGAAACAGCTAGTCTCAATCACTGGACAACCTGGTTCAGAAACACCTGAGGTCAGGTTCTGTTGATGAGAGACAATAAAAAGATATTTCAAGAAAAAATATAGAAAAGGTACAAAAGTCAAACACTAAAACCAAAATGGAGGAGGAAATAAAATATATCAAACCAAGTCCCCAAAACTCAATCCTCAAACAGCTCAGTTCAGAAACCAGTCGTATGCATATATGTCGATGGTTCCTTAATATTCAAGAAATTTCTAGATTAGATAAGGCGTTATTACCTGCTCAGAGAATATACTGGTAATACTAATGAGTATTTCTGAACTGTGTTCAGAAATCTGTGTGCTTCCTATTTATGGGATTGATTGAATATTCAACACCTTCTGAATGTTACAATTAACCTAATAACAGATGACTAAAACATTTTCGATCCACCTGTTTGTTACATCAGTCACAATCATACGCAACAGCAGTTTTAGCAGTCACTTGGGTTTTATGGGTCAGCAGCGTATTCAAAAATTGTCTTGTACCACATTTTGTTAGTGTGCTGTGTATAGCATATACATTTGTAGTAAATAATGTGGTAGTACTGTAATTGCTATCAAATCCCTTTGCTTGAAATGATTCATCTTTGTACACATATTATACCTAACATAAATAATACTTAAAATAAAAACATACTTATGCACATTGTGATA